TCAATAAATTTAAAGGTTCATGGGGAACATTCCTAAGTATTAAATCTGGCTGGTGGAACCTCTTTGATTGACAGGTGGTTTCAGGGCCAATCGCAGGGTAAGTAAAAGGCCTATGGCACAAAATGCCAGGAGGCACTGGCTCACAGGGTCCAGCAAGCACCATTCCAGCTTTCCAGCATGGAGTCCCAATGGCCTTGCCTGTCCTCACCCTCTTTTCTATAGTCACTCCTACTTCAAATAGAAACTTACTATGCCCTCTATCCCTAGCCCCACCAGACCTTATTTGAGAACTATTGGATGGAAAATGGTTGAAAATCATTAATGTTATAAATCCAAATTCTCTTTCTGAAAGAGATTGAGTGAAAACTATTACTACATGGATTTTATTCCTTAATAATCATGTAAACTTGAGAAGGTAAAATAGATCCAGTATAAAAGGAAAACTATAATGATAATTTCCAAAGTACAAAAAAAAAAAAAAACAACACACATTTGGAAGACAATAAGTCATATAGTAAAGGAAATATAAAACATTTTGGCCTCTCCTTCTTTATAGAACTCTCTTGCTATGTGCTCTTATAGTTCTTACCTCTCTCCTTATAGTGCTATTCAACTAAATTCTCATCTCTTCCGAACCTTACCATGCTGTGTCCAGTGCTAATGCGAGCTAAATTGGAGCCTGAAGCAAAAGGAAAAATGTGTTTCCCTATATACACATTTCAGAGATTTTTGTGTTTGATTACTGCATCTTTTGTGCTCCTCACCTCTTTCACTCATTTTACACTCTGCCTGCTCTTGCTGGGTAATTTTACCACCAAGCTTTAAATTACCCCCATATGTTCTGATGATACGAAACTCTTCATGACCATTCCTGATTCCTTTACACAGCTGCAACTTTTATAACTGAATAGGATGGCGACAAGCACACGAACCTCAAAAGACCCCCAAATGAAGGCCTTATTCTCTCAACTTATCCTATAAACAATTACATACACCTATAAAGTCAACTCCCAAGTCATATTTCTTTCACTTCCTAGCAGAAATTCTTACAAATATGTCTAATAATTGGCTGTGTTTAATTGCCTCTGCTTTTTATTTTCACTCTGGTTAAATTTCCTGATTTGTAACATTTTCTGGTCCTCAAAAATGACTAATGGAAAATGAGTGTAAAATATTTATGTAATTAGGACATTTCAACATTTTCAAAAATGGAAAAAATAAACAGCAGTTATGGAACACCTGCCTAAAAGATACTGGAAATAACTGCTTCGTGCTTCATTAACCAGTATAAACACATTTGCCAGTTTAAATCCCCTACTGAATTCAGAATTTCCAATTAGTAATAGAATGGCATTAAACTGCCAAGGGAAGGAATTTCTGGGTAAAAAAATTCAGAATTACCATTTTACCATTCTTAGGGCACTTCTATAGGTCAAACAGATACTTATTTTCCAAAAAGCCTATAATTCATTTAGTTACACCAAATTTGAATTTTAATAGACATATCAAATGGTTTATCTTGCAGATTTCATTCATCTTTGAGTATCATTCAATACCGTTCCTGAAATATAACGTGTCAAGGACCAAAGAGGAAAGAACGAAAGAAGTTCAATAGGGAGCAAGAACTACACAGTGGTTCATGAAAATCTTTTTCTCTGGGGCTTCAAAAAAAACCACAGTCCACATCCCAGATACAGATAATGCAATGAGTTTAAGGCACCGTTTATCTGAATCAAGTAAATACATAAATTTCTGAAGTCAAAGCAAAATAGTTAAAAAGTCAATCAATCAATAAAACCTTTATAAAAAAATTGGCTGAAAATGTAACACTTTGTCTTCAGAAATAATGTAAGATTACTAGTTACAAATCTGACAACCATTATAATCAACATTTTCCTTAACTCTGATGTCTCTATTCTCTCATAATCTTATTTATCTTTTCTAAGGAGGCCAGGAGATGAACCCATAAGGACACAGTGGATCCAGATGATCAGAAATCCAGATCTGGCTATAACACCAAGTAATTGTTATGAGTTTATATAAATCTTTTAATATTTTCAGCATAGCAATTTATAATCAATAAAAGGGGGAAACAAATTTATGTGACAACAAATCTGTGTGACCTTTGCATCATGGTCAAAATCAAAAACAATATGCAAGGTATTTTGCATCCTCTGAATTGAAATAAAAGCATTGCAAGGGAACTGTGTAACACTAAATAAACAAAAAAAAAATGCTATGTTTATGTCTAGTATTTAAAGAAAATGTAAAAGAAGGGTCTTATTCACTCAAGCATTCATTCAACATACTCAGTGACACCAATTATATGCTGGAGACACAGCTTATGAAACATGATTAAAAAAAAAAAAAACCTTCATTCCTAGACTATATCCCACGGAGAAAAAAAGATTGACAATAAACAAATCAATGCATGAAAAACAGAACATATCAATGATAAGTGCTATGAAGAAAAATTAAGCAAGGAAGTCTAAGGAGAGGTAGGTGGAGAACAGGTTGGAGTTTTAAATAGAGCGGCTACAGAAGGTCTTGCTGAGGTGACAATTGTATAACAGAAATTGTGCAAACTCCAAGTGAGCTGGAAAACCACAGAAAAATCTGAGCACAGGAAATTTAAAATTATTCTTTAGCTATATTACTAAGAAGAGATTACCAGGAAATGAGTATAAGTATGGAAACCTGCTTTAAGGCAATTGAAATAATCCAAATGACAGACGATGGTGATGGCTTAGAAAGGTTGGTAGTGGTGGAGGTAATGAAGAATAACTGATGCTGGATACATTTGAGGACTGCTCCCACCCCTCCTCTTTATCTCAACAAAAGTTGAGATAAAATATGAAATGTAGGACTAATATTTTTCTCTAAAGTGAAAAGACAGATGAACACATTTTGGAGGTAACATATAATTTGGACTTGGAACATGTTAAGTTGGAGATTCCTGTTAAACATCTAAGTGAAGATGCCTGGTTATAGAGGTGCAGCATTTAAAGAAGTGGTCAGGGCAAAACATAAATATGCAGGAGTCATCTTTCCAGAGAAGTTCAAGTGAGGAAAGAGAAAGAGATCTGAATAGTTTTGGGCATTCTGATATTTAGGAGTGAGAATATGAAGAATAACCAACAAAGAAAACAAATCCCTGTTCTTCAGACCACCCTAAGTCTACAGTATTTTGTTATGGCAAACAACAAAGTATTAATTGTTAGAATGTTGTTAAAGAGAATGTAAAATTGCTTTTCTAGGAATTTGTGACAATATTTACTGAATGGGGAAAGCGTATTACACTGCATCATTTCAATACCAAAAAAAAAAAAAAAGTAAAGTAACATCCTCAATTATAGGATAAGATTATGGAATAAAAATGTTTATTTCATAAAGTAATAATATCAACAACAACTACCATATAAAACACTGTATGTCAATAATTTAAAAATGTGTGAATGAAATCTTAGAAAATTTATTTGGAAGATAGTTCTCAAACTTTTAAAATGAGAGATTTAGACTTGAGAATCTTCAAGAGCTTTTTAAATTTGAAAATTACAAGATTCTTCCTTTAGTGCCATTCAATTGTTCACTTCATCATACAGGATCTCTTCCTTGATCTAATTTGGACAATATTACTGTCCTTCCAGAGACATCTATTAGAAAGGTCATGGTAGAAAGCAAAGCTCACAGAACTGGAACAAGGAAACTAAATTCCAAATCCAGGTCTGTAATTAGGTGGTTGAACGAGCATCTCAATTCATATTGTGTCTTTCTATTTCATTTTTCACTCAAAAATCTCTGCTGTAGATAGCTAGTGACAAAAAAAATCAGATACAGATATGCCCATGCATACACAGCCTCAATTCCCATTCTCTAAGAGTTCATATGTAGGAAGACTGAAAGAAGTATGTGTGTGTGTGTATATATATATATATGTGTGTGTGTGTGTGTGTGTATCTTAAGTATGTGTGTATATATGTGTGTGTGTATATATATATCTTAAGTATGTGTATATATATATATATATATATTTTAAAAAAAACTGAAATTATACATAACAGTACACAGCATACCCAAAGAACCAAAAGAGCTAGTATTGAACAAGCTAATATTATTAATTTACTAATGAAGTAATTTGGGGGCAATTAATGTTGGCAAATCAGGTATAAAGGAAATTACTTTCCAAATCTAAAGATTTATATCCCCTTAAAACAGTAATTTGAATATTGCCTTAAAGGTTACACCTAATCCCCATCCATGGCCTCACAGTCCAAGCTCTGCAGTGACCACATAAGCCTGGATAAATAAGGTTCTAACAAGCAACAATCTCAGAGATACAGTGTTTTGTTCCCACATATGTGAAAATATCAGATGCACATCTAACTGTTCATATGTTCCAAAAAAATATATCTGCAAGCAGTCTGTATAATCCCTTCTTTAGTTGTATTATATCTGTAATACGGAAACTCTTCTGTCACAAAACTACATCATCATATAAAATAATTTTAAGAGAAATTTCATACATGTTTAAAAAGAGCAATTTTGCCTCTGAACTAATTTTACATATTTTTTTAAGATTTATTTATTTGTTTGTTTGTTTGTTTATACAAGCACTGGGGACAGTCAGAAGCATGGGAGGGTGAGAGAATTCACCAGAGCCAGGACGGGGAACAGAATAGCCAGGAACCCAAGCCAGGGGCCGGGGATCAAACCAGCTCTGCAGAGGCTGCGGGCAGCTTTGCAACCCAGCACTCAACCACTGCACCACCGGGGAGGCCCTGCACTAATTTTATATAATTTTAACTACTTCCATAGATATTCAAAGCAGTAAAATCAGGCACACTTTTGAGATTATTCAAGTATAAAATATTTAAAATAAGAAAAATACAGCTACACATTATGCATAGTTAGTTGTATTTTTAAGTACATGAAAAATCTTATCTTACAATGTGTGGAATAAGATATTCTTCAGCATGAAATCATAAGTTAGTGGTACTTACAAAGCAGTTCTTATCAGGATTCCTTTTCCAATGTTTCTTGTCTATTTTCTTGGCCGAAGTGGAACGCAGAGTTGCATGAGTTTGTGTTTGAGGATTTAAAGCCAGGATACTCTAAAAACAGTACAAAAACAATATATAAACATAGATTGACATTAAAAATATTCAATTTTTTATTTTAAGATTACGCATAGTGGCAGCAAAGAATGATTTAACTAGGAGTGTATACCCTTATTATACATGAGAGAAAAACAAGATTACATGTGATCTAAACAAACTGGAAAAATGATCCAAAATTACCAAAATGGTGTTGAAGGAAAATAAGTGAGAAAATCCTGCATTTGTTTAGGAAAAAAGGAATCCAGCATGGGAAAATGCTGACAAAACAAACATTAATATGGAAAAAGTGAAAAGGACGAAACTATTTTTAGGAAATAACATAAAATAAGAAATAAACTGAATGAACCAACAACATGCCTCCTCAATTAGTTACCTCAGCTTACATTAAAAGAGTTACACTAGAATACTCTACCAACAAAGCAGAAAACAAATTCTTCTCAAGTGTACAAAAAACTCTTTCTAGGGTGTTTTTCATACACTTGATGCTTGGCCACAGAGCAAGCCTCAATGAATTTAAAAAGATCAAAATCAAACCATGCAGGGTAGTTTCCATCACAACTGAATAGAATGAGTTACAATAGAAACAAATTTGGGAAATTCGCATACAACATAGATGAACACAGTAAACATCACATTAACTAAGAGAAGCCAGTTACCAAATAACACAATGCATGACCTTATTTACATAAATATCCACAATGGGCAAATCTATAGAGACAGAAAGTAGATTAGGGGAAATGGAAAGTGACTGTGAAAGTGTATATTGTTTCTTTTGAGAGTGATGAAAATTGATTGTGATGATGATGACACAATTCCATGAATAGACAAAAAGCATTTAAATTCTATATTTTATATGGGTGAACTGTGGGCTATATGAATTGCATCTCAAAAATAAATAACCACTAAATTCTACATTCAGTGTATTTCACTGGCATAGTGTATTCACTCAAATAAACATTACTGGGACTTTTTCTATTAGGCCAATAAAAATGAGGTTTATTTTTAGTCATTTTTATATATAACACATGGTATTTCTTCAATAGATCAACTTAGATATCTGTGTCTTCAAGACAACAAACACACAATAAAGTTAAGTTTTAAAAGGTTTATTCCTTAAGAGGAACTAATGTCAAAGCAAGTCATTAACAAGAGTCAATATTAGAAAATATATATAATACCATTTTATACCAAAAAATGAAAACATTTTCTTATAAAATAAATGCAGTTTTTTGCTTTCTAGTTATTCAACTTAAACCATTATTAATTCATATGTTAATTCAGACTGAAAAATAAACAGATGACATTTTTCAAAGTATCTACTGTGGCCAATATTTAAAGAAAAAAAGCCAAAAAACTGAGTAACGTACAAGAAAAATGGCTGTTTTTATTTTAGTTTTTACTTCCACAATCCATATTGTGACAAATGATTATGTTTATCTATGTCGGCATAGTAATATAACTTTTGAGAATAAAATTTCTGAATGCAATTTATTGGCTGCTTATCACAGTAACTTTTCTTTTACATAGCGTAAGTAGAAAGTATAACATAACATGAAATATTGGGTTAACCTTTTGCAAAAAGGCAGTGAGTAGAATTCAATGGATCTTGGGTAAAAATAAATTGGATTGTGGAGAATGGTTACCAAGGATTTGACTTAATAATATCCCAAATGAAAAGTGATATAAAATAAAAATACAGGACATGAGTGGTTGAAAGCTGTTAAAAACAATTTTCCAAAGCAAGACTTTTCAAAACTAAAAGTCAATATCATCAATAACTAAGCAGCTGGCAGAATAATACAAGAGAGTTCTAAATTGCATTCTTCCTAAGAAATGACCAAAGCTGGGTCCTTACAGGGTCACCGGGTCCCTTCTCTGGATAAATTGAGCACTTTAAGAGGCCTGTTAACCCTTTCAGATATAGGGCAAATTACTTATAGAGGGAGATTTTTTTCCTCATGCCAAAAATTGACCTTTGGCTTTCCCAATCATTTTCAGTAAGACAATAAAAATGTACACTGGTGAATCCTGAGGCAGAAAAATAGAATTTGATAACATTTACGGCACTAATTTTATCTAGTTTAAGAAATGATAGAATATGATACAAAGTCAAGCAAATATGAGATCAAATCAGAATTACGTGTTGTCACTGTATTGCTTGTCAATACTATTCTGGAAAGGGTTTGGAATGCCACAACATAACACTAAAATTCTGTATCTGAGCATCTCTGTACCACAGAAAACACAAACAGTAGCCTATATTGACTATAATCACAGGCCCTCGTACACAAATAAAAGCACGAAGTGTTAGTCCAAAACTATTGGAAGTGCATTATTTTTTTTTAAGAACTTGAATTTCAATGCAGGAAGCTACTTAGCCTACATCTCCTCTTTCTAAAATGTGGCTGCTTTCCATCACGATATTGATTATCCAAACATAATGCACCATTAAGCTTCCTTCACCCTTTGCATTTTAAATTACAAATGTTCTCTCTTCAGCACTAGGCATCACTTACTATAAGGCTATGCCATTAAAATGCTAACACCTACACTGACAGCTTAGGTAGACAGGCTGAACAAATGAATTAAATTTTGTTTTATTTAAATTATTCTAAAACTTAGTCTTTGCTGTCTTATCCTGAATCCTCTGAAAGTTGTCTTCTACTTTGCATTTTATCAGGTATTGGAAACAATAAACACCATGCTTTTCTCATTTTTTTTTTTTTGTAGTTGGGTATAAATACCTTGTTTTAATAAAACACTGTACTGTGCTGCCATTTTTTAACTCAATACAACAGAATTAATTATTGATTAATGCTTTGGTAAGTATTTAATGCTTGGCTCAGGCAACAATCTAACAAATGCTGATCAATGGAGTACTGAAATTTTCAGTATTTACTTGCTTAAAAGTCACAGCCTCAAGTTCACAAGCCCCAGTCTTAGTTAATTATCCCACCTTTCTACATGTTTATCATTAGTCATAGTGTAGGGTGAGTTTAAGTATCTTAGAAATTTACAAAGTTGCTTGTCTTAGCATGTCTTGGAAAAGTCAGAATTAATATACTCAGTCTTCTGTTGGGTTGAGCAGAAGAGAAGAGATTTTCATATCCCAGGCCCATATGTGAGATAAAAACAACCTTGAAAACCCATGGTAACAAGTCCTGCTCACAGACTCTCACATTTTTCTAATCTCTTTTAATGCACTTTTTTCTTTAGCCAGGTTCAGGCTTCAACAAAAATTATGAAGGGAGAGAATTAATGAAGATTATTACATTGCAAAAAAGTTCACCAGCTCACTGGATAATTAAGAAAATTTATATTGCAGAATTTATGCTTTTTTCATATCAGAAAAATAGTCATTTTATATCAAAATCTGGTTAACAGAATTTGGCCTCAAAGCAAACTTGAACTTAAAGACCTTTTTTAACTAATATGAAAGGAACTATGATTTACCCTTAATCTATTAACATTTGTGTGTAAGATGCAATCATTTACCAAACAGTGGTGTTTAAAAATCCAAGGGTCATTTCAGTTCAAGAGAGGCTAAGTGCACACAGCATGCTAAAAATAACGTAATCCTGGCCAACAAAGAAAAAAAAAAAGCTGGAAAAAAAAAAAAGACTTGAAGGGAAATGGAATCAAAACCAAAGGTTATTTAGATCAGATTTTTAAAAAATTGAATACACTAAGCAAGTAGCAAAATTTTCAGTTTCATGAAATTGTAATAAGTCAAAGATTGACTAGTTGCTCTTCATCTATGTGGTTAACAGTTAATGGAAACATACATAAGCTACCAGCTGAATATTAGGAATAAGAACTAAAATGACAAATACTGACTTACCAATTTTGGAATTTTATTAATTGAAAGAATTGTCTTAAGACAATTTTTCTCTTAAGAAGAATAACACTGCTGTGCAGGGAGTCTATGAGCTGGAGGATTGGAATATTCAAAATCAGGAAAATGCAACATTTGAAAAAAAAATTATTATGTTATGAGTCAACCTTTTCAACTCTCCTTGAATTTTATGTAGTATTCACCACAGTTGATGTGTCCTATTATGCAGAAACTCATCTGCTTTGGTTCCCTTAACATAATGACATGAACACTTTTTTTTCTATACACTATCTTTACTGTTGAGAATTTCATTTCCCCTTTTGACTAAATGACTGCAGCCTGCCCCTCCACTGATGACTTTTCTGCAGCTGACTTTTATATCTGCTTTTCCAAACCCTCAGATTTCTGCCTTGATCTACAGTCTTCCACTTCACTAGATGCTTAATACCCCACTTGCATGTTCCATCATTGTTTTGATTTCTTCACATCAAAAAACAATGCATTACCTTATTCCTCCCAACTTTTAATTCCACAAGACTTCTGTCAATAATACCACCACTTCTCTAGTAAAATTCAGACTTCATATTGTAGCCATTCCCACTATTTTTTTTTTCTTTAAACCCTTACAAAGTTAGTCACCATTAGTCACATTTGGCCTATCTTTTGTATTTCCTTTTTCTCCAAACTACTGCAGATCCTTACTGCAGTATGCTTGAAACTTAATATTGAATTAACGCTCTCCTAATTGAATTAGTCACCTTAAGTTTGAAGTTCTCTCTTATATGACAAATATCACTCATGCATACATATGAACCTACATATAAATGTGTGTGCCAGCTTGCTCTTTCTCTCGCTCGCTCTCTCTTTCAGACACACATCTTTAAATGACTCTCCTTTATAAGGATAATACTAATAAAAAGCATCATCTTACTATTCAATCTGGTACCTGTCTATTATTCCAACCTATCTCTACTCCTACCTATTTGTTGTTTAGTCAATCCAACTTCCATACTTCTGCCTCATCACTGCCTGTATATCTAGGATGTAGTCATGTCATATCAATTTTAGTGCTAACTTTTCTTTAAATTCTAACTAGAAACATTTCCTCCAACAGATAGGAAGAACCATCCCTGCATGCTAAATTATACCCATGTACTTC